CCCAGACCTTGCTGAGCTGTGAACAGAGTCCCTGGCATGGTAGAGTTGGGGTCAGGGGAGGGATGTGCCTAGGGAGTCACAGGTTCGACGCTCTATGCATTTGTAAATGTCCTGCCAGGCCCTGCTCCCGGGAGCGGCAGGGTTGGGGCTGTGTGTGTGCATGCTGACTCTCCTTAGCATCCTACCCCATCCTGGATTTCCCTCAAATTATTATGGTCATCCTAACTGTAGTTAAAGGCAGCAGGTATGTGCATATGTAGCAGGAAGTAACAACTCCCTCTAAGTTGAGGTGAGAGGGTCACTTCTTCCTCAGGGCAGAGAGTTTATTCTAACAATTCACTGAGAAACTAATGCAAACTAAAATTTAAGAAAGATCTCAGGGAATGTTTTCTCTTTTCAGCAGTGCAGTAGGATTGTGCAACAATCTTTTGTGTTCTACCACTGAAGTGGCCCTAAGGTAGGGCAACCAGTCACCTGGTTTGAAATCTTCTGTCATGGAGGCCCAGAAAGTGCATTTCCTCCACTGTGAACAGTTACAAAAATGTCAGTAGATTTGATTTGCACTGTGGACAGTTAGGCGAGTATAGGCTGTCACTACCCAATTCTAATGTAGAGCTGGATGACTGGGAAGTTCAAAAGTAGAGTAGAACTTTACAGCTTAAGCTTAGCTCATATGGCTCACTTGTCTTCTGAATCATCCCCGGAGAAACCAGGCATTTACCTTTCATTTCCAGCCATGATCCCATTCAGCATGAAACCCCCCTGAGAACATGTGACCACCTTTTAACATGACCCCAAGTAACACATCTTGGATAGCTAAATCAAAAATCTCTTTACACACTGAGTTGAAAAGAAATATATCTACTGTTGAACTACATTTCTTTTTACATCAGCAGGTGATCTATAAAGGACCAAAAGGACTGAAGAGAGATTCTAGAAGTCAAGCAGAGCCCTGCTCCTCCTATCCTCTCCCCTCCCCAGCATTTCAGTTTTCCCTATGCAGAAAGTTCACCCAAGTGCTCTTTGTTTTCCAGTCAAGCAAAGCAAAATATCAGAATTATTCAAGTAGAAGTGAGTGCCACAGGGGTGGGGGAAGAAGAGAAAGGTTAAACCCAGAATAAAGCAAGGTACCTAGATGAGGACAGACAGCCCAGGTGGTGATAGGGTAGAGTCACTAGGTAGTAGGAGTGAAGAGAGCTATTCTGGGACCATTTGTCTAGCATCCAGAAGAGCTGGCAACACCAAAAATATTGCTTGCAAGACCAAAACAACCCACAAAAAAAAAAAAAAAAAAAAAAACCAACAACAACAGAAATCAACAGATACCAGGGCAATCAGAATGCCTGATGACCTTTGCCAGAAGTAACTAAAAATCTAGATCTACAGATAAATTCCCTGAAGTGATTTGATGTTAATTATCAGGGGCAGGGTGAGAAAGTATGCTTGGACATGACAGGGAGCCCTATTTTCCCATTAGGCCAGTGGTCTCCAAACTTTAAGTAGGAGATCACCTTTGGCATTTAAAAGCAACCCACAACCACCCTCTGCCCCCCACCCAGCAGGTAAGTCTATGGAGAGGGGCAGACTGAGGCAGAGGAAGAAGAAATTGTTTGGGGGCGCACCTCCCTGGCAGGTAAGTCCCACCTGACCAGGGCCCCACTCAACTTACCCCTGCTCCTGCCTCTGCAGCACTGTTCCTCACCGCAGGGGCCTTGGTCTAGCCCCCTCCCCTCCCCTCTCCCATGAACTGACCTGCTGGGCTGGGCACTCAGTCCCCAATCCCAGCCTTGGATAGACTCCAAGAGGTCCCAGATCTACTGGAGGATCAAGATCCACTGGCTGGTGATCACTGCCTTAGGCCATAGAACTTTAGGTTTGAAACCTGCCCCCCTGCACATTTCTTTACTCTTGGATAAGGGGGTGGATGTCTGTGTATCAGTGCCTATGGTCACTGGCATTACAGCATGTGTGGGGAAGGATGAGATGTTAGAGGCATGGAAGTGCTTCAACATTTATTTCTATATATATAAAAAAAAAAATGTAGGACAGATCTAAAAGCCACAATGTTTAACAATTACTTCATTAGAAGTAAATAGTAACTCTGCCTCCTGGTTAGACTAACTAGGAGGGAGTCTTTTATTCAGGATGTTATGTTAACGGACACAAAGTTGTTGGGTTTTTTTGGGGGGGGTGGGCGGGGGAGGGTTGTTTGTTTTTTACATCGTCACAAGGTACAGAACAAAACAAACAAACAAACAAAAAATCGGAGAGGAGATGCACATGAGGGAATCATTCCAGTGCAGCCCATGACCAGGATCTTTTCCTGGGAGGGGTACACTGCTGCTGACAGGAAGTGACATGCAACAGGTACTGCTCACATTTGGTACAGATGTCCATAGAAGGCCAGTCCACCATGGTGGTCTTGCGACAGGTAAGAGGCTGTGCTGCGTAGCAAGGTTCAAACACAAGTGGTACTCTGAAAGTTACCAAAAACAGGGCCAGATGTCAGGTAAGAGGAACATTGCTCTGCCAACCCCTCTCTCATGTGGTCCAGCACCACTTTGTGCTTTAATTTAGAGCACAGCTCTGAAGGGTGCCATCTGTTGGCTCTAGTCTAACCCCACTTAGAATCATTCTTGGGAAGAACTAATAAGGATCAGCACATCCCCATTAAACTGTGGGTCATTCCACAGTGATGGGTTCCCCCCCACCAACACACAATTACTGCACTTTTCCCAAGCCTGGCAATGAAAGCAGAGATCTGGTGAGAACTTTAGCTGGTTCAAAATGTAGCTGCCCATCTGATAGGCCAGTGGGGGCCAACTCTTTTTGGCAGGTGTTTCACAAATGAGCATCACACTTTCCCTCACTGCCTCTCTGGTCCTCTCCCCCTGCTTAGTCTGCTGTTCTGCTTCCTACCCTATCTGCTGCTGTGTTGCCTGTCACCTCCCTAGTCTGCTGCATGCGACACAGATCCTTTTTATACCACCTGTAGCTTGACCCCCTCACCCCCATGTTACGCAGTGACAACTGCTAATAACATCCCGGTAGCCTGGAATTTCCACTCTTCAATTAGGATCAGGGTCCACATCTTGAGTCCCGCGGCTGCAATGGACAGGTTGGGTCAACCCCAAAGAGAACTTTCAAGTCTACGATGGAAAGATTGCTGTGACAATTCTTGTCATAATGGGAGGATGCAACTGTGAACTTGCAGAAAAAGACACAAGAAATCTGTCTTCTTCCTAAAGGGCCAAGAATGATCTTTGTCACAACCCAATTAAATTGTGCCCATGCCACTGAGCAAGAGATACCATTCAAATCATCCTCATTTTGATGATTAAGGGTTAAAAGACATCCCTGCCAAAAATTCCTTGAAACAAAACGCGGCTGGAGTACTGTAGATAATTGGTCAGCTGAAATAAAATGCTAGGGGAAACTATATATAATTGGTCAAAGATAAATGTAAGCTCCTCACACGTAGCACACATGTAACAGGTAGAGAAACCTAACCCACTACCTTGTAACTTGAGGAGACAAAGAGCTGCCACCTGCCAAAAATTAAAGATTCCATATAACGGTTCACCATTGGATATTCCTGTAAAACACCTCTGCCTATAAATAGTTTAACGGTTTCCGCCCAAGTCGGAGAGCTCTGGGGATCTCACAGGAAACACCTGTGCTTGTCACCAGAGAATTGGGAAATTGATCAATTCCCAATCAATCACCCCGTCAGCGTAAAATATTGACGTAGAAAGTCTTGCAAGCACGACCGTTCGTTCCCGGCGCCACGTCCATCATTATCTCGTCGTAACCTAACTGCGTGCGTGTACTCGACTCTGTAACCGAAGTTATATGCGTATACTCAACTCGGTAACCGAAGCTGTAACGGAACAAAGGCTCGCCTGCGTCGTCCATCACTATCTAGGTGACGTAAGTAAACAAACTCCTGTAACCTACACGCGTCTGTGCCTGGTTAATTCCACTCCATCCATTACTACCCGCCTGCCGAGCTCTAAATCTAAACACTCCGGTGTGTGAGTCAAGTGGCTGCCGGCGGCTGCTCTGATTCACGACAATCTTGTCACATTATAAACAAAGACAAGAAACTTGCCATTTTGGGACTGCTTCCCCTGAAAGGAGACACCTTCTATACCAGTAGAATGGGAGCGAGGACCAAGTAAATACCTTTATCTGTTTCATGATCCATTCAAATACTGTAGTCCAAGGGTGGTCAAGCCAAGGCATATGTGCCATAAGTGGCACAGGCAACTTGTGTGCGACACAAATTGGGGAGGGAGCAGCAGCATACCAACAACACGGGAGATTCAGGTCAATACCACCCAGAACATCATCATTAACTTACCTGAGGCAGGGCAAGAGGATTGGAGTGGCACTCAGAGTGTGCAGGGATTATCTGATAGCACGCCTGCCAAAAATATTGGCCCTCACTGATGTAATCTATCACCAGGATGCTACTAGTTCAGTCAGAGGGAGTCTTCCCCATGGCATACAGAGTTGCTGCCTCTGAACTATCAGCACAGTTAGGGCTTGTGTATTCAGGATATTTCACCTTGGGGAAATGCTGCCACCTTCAATTAAGTTGTCAGTGACTCTCTTTCCAGCACATGCATCTTTCAGGTGAAATGCTGATACCCATTCTACTCACCTCTGTTGAGAGTCTGAAATCCCATGGCATTGTTTTAAAAGAGAATGACAGATAACTCAGACTAGTGGCCAGGCCAATCAGCCGTTGAGCATAAAATGATATCGACAGAAGTGGTATAGATTCTAATGTTGTCCGTTATAATTTTGTTTTGCCTGCACAATTCCTACTTTCATGAAGCAATTGCCTGCTCTCAGCAGTGGCTTTTAGTTACCCAAGTGAAAACACCAGAATGTGTTTTCACAGCTTACCTAGGACAGCTCCAATGCTCTACTTCATACAACATTTGGGAGGTTCTCTCTTCTTGCACAGCTGGGTCCTCATGTTTGGAGACTCTTAGTGGTTTTAGGAAGCCGAGTGGGAGATGTACACACTGTCTGAAGGGCATTGACATCTGAAACAAAACATCATGAAAGTTAATCCATCAAGAGCAGGGGCGGGCAATTATTTCAGCTGGAGGGCCACTTAATGAGTTTTGGCAAACTGTCAAGGGCTGCAAGGGTGGCCCCATCCCATGACAACTGCCCCACCCCCTGGTTGGCATCTTGGGACCAGAAGTCCCGCCCCCTAACCTTTGCCACCAGAAGTGCCTCCCTTTGCCCCCAGAAGTACTCCTTTTGGGAAGGGGGTTTGCCATCTTGGAACCAGAAAAAAACCCAAACAAAATTACAAACTAAAAATCCCCCCAAAAACCCCAAACATCCACAATAACATTTTATTTTTTCCTCCCCAATTTCTGTGTTTCCACTGTGTATATAGAAGTGATTCCATAATAGCTCAAAATGAAGTCTTACTCCTGTATATTCGGGGG